GAGGAGGAGGAGGAGGAGAAAACAAAACAAAAAACCAAACTGGAAGGCACCTAAAGACATCATCCAAGGTTGATCTCTGACCCACACATCCACGAACATGCAACACTGTGTGTACACACACAAGATTTATAAGGACAACAACTAGGAAAAAAAAAATAGTCTACAAACTTTGATTTCAGAATGTAAGAAGATTAAAGTAACAGATTCTGAAAGTTCTCTAGTACCAAAGACACTCTTACCACTTGGATTTCTTTTGCTTTGTTTTTGAGACAGAGTCTCCCTGCATAGTTCTGGTTGACCTGGAACTCACAGAGATCTGCCTGCCTCTGCCTCCCTCATGCTGGGAATAAAAGCCTTATATCACTACTTCTGGCTCACTACTTGATTTTAGAACCAAAATGTGTTTGAAGCAAACCTTTGAAAGATAACCATGGTTTGTATGCAGTCAATAAGCAATCAAGCATTAAGTATCTCAATTCAAGAAAAATGTCAGGTATTAGTTTAAAGTTACAAAACACCAACCTCTTTAATCTCATGTAGTTTTCACTAGCAGCAGGGCGGCATTCGGCTCTCTGAACCACTATTCCTTCCAATGACAGCTTATCTTCAATGGAAAAGAAAAAACAAAGTGTTCAGAGATAACAGCCATCATTTCCAAGATGACATTTTGACATATTAACTACAGTAATACAACTAAAATATAATTCATAGTAGATATCAAGGAAACAGAAGGGACAGTATAAGTTGATAGCACTATCTCTTGTCAGACTGGAGAAGCCTTACTCTTATGGCAGCAAAGCAGAGCCCTTTCTGGCATGCTTCCTGATCTGCATTGCCCCTTGCCAAGAACAGCGTTCACACATGAGCTTTGACTAAATAAACTTACCAAGGGCATAAAATCAAATTTAGAAAAAATTGAAGGATATGGAGACTTTCATCCTTAACAGAAGTAACTTCTGAAAACAGTTTGTCTAAACCATTAAATTAAAGATGTGTCTGTGCATGCAAACAAGATTCTAGAATAACCTATGACTAGAACAGCCAGCTCAGAAAACTCTGAAACTGGGCGACTCATTGTCTAGGTCATCCCCTGTATAGAGTCCAGCCTGACAGTTGCTCTGAATTATAAGTGAAAAATCTGTGTCAAAGTAAATTTACAAGCTGGGGGTGGAGGATGGTACATGTTTGTAATCCTAGCACTGGGGAAGATAAGGAGGCTCATACATTCTCAGCCAGCCTGGGCAACAAAACAAGACTCTGTCATAAGCAAACAGTGACTCTACTATGCAACACGTGTCTAAACAGAAATGCAATCGTTTGTATAACCATTCTTATAGTGACTTAAAATCCAGGAGAAATAGAAAAAGAATGTAAAAGCTCGTACCCACTCCATGCCTACTAGCATCAAGCACTGTTCAAACATTGTGGTAGAGTAACCTGATAAATACTGCCTGCTGTTTAATATGTGTATGTATGAAAGCCTCACAGTGATACAGCTTTATTACACCCTGGAAATGCAAGACTGTTAGAAAGAGCTATGGTTCAGTCCTATTTCTATGTGAATTAACCTGAACTTCAAGAAGAGACTCAGGAAATCCTCTGGCTAATCAGAAATGCATTTGTGATTAATCTCTTCAGGGTGACTTGTTTCATTCATTCCACAAATACTAAATGCATACCATACAAAGGCAGCATGTACGCACTGTGGAATCAAGGATGATTCAGACACAGTTTTCTGTATGACAGTGACTGATACATTGAGTAAAACGTGCATGCACAGAGAACCACACCTATGTCATTCACAATAGAAAATCTTTCCTGTAAGGACCTTTTTGGACTTTGTCTCCCAAATTCAAAGGATTACATATTGTTGCGCCTAAATACTAATCACGAACACACTATGTGGCTTATTTCCAGAGTGCCTCAATGATGAAACTTTATCAGGGGCTACTGGATGCTTGGAAAGTATGGGTGACAAGACCCATACCTACTTCACACCTAAATATGCCAGGAAGGAAATAATATACAAGCCACAATTCTTTATATTTCTAAACCTAAAATTAATTTCTTCTCAATAATAAATTTATATAAGATTAAAATTTCAATTTTCTCAAATCTTATACTCCAGTTTGTGTCTCTGATGAACCTGAAAATCCTAACTAGAAAAAAAAAAACCTTCAGTCATCAAAATAATAGCAAGACCTGTGCAATTCTGATATAAAAGGCATCTTAAATGTATGAAGAAAAGTACAGTATTGGACCATAGATTGAATGCTTTACTAAAATTAAATAAATCTAGGATAACAGTCCTGAAAATAAGTTTTTTTTTTTTTTTTTTTTGTCTTTTTGAGACAGAATCTCCCTGTAGCCCCAGCTGTCCTGGAACTCACAATGCAGACCAGGCAGCCTTGAACTCAGAGATCTGCCTGCCTCTGCCTCCCGAGTGCTGGGTACGAGTGCTGGGTACGAGTACGCCACCACGCCTGGCCTGAAAATAATTTTTAATTTATTTATATTTTATGTGTATATTTTAACTGCATGCATGTAAGTGCACCATGTGTGTGCTGAGCCTGCATCAGGTCCCTTGGAACTGGAGTTAAACATGGTTGTTATCCACCATGTGGGTGCTACTTTGCAAGAGCAGCCAGGGCTCTTAACTGCTGAATCATTTCTTCAGCCCCCTGATAATAATTTAATCACAAACTTAAGTGTTTACTAATGTTGAATACTAAAATAGCTACCTTTAATTCCATTTGTGAAAGTGAACTTGACCAAAACTGTTTTTCCTATTCTTCAGTCAAGGTCTCTTATACAGAGCAATAAAATTCACTCCTTCAGACCATAATTTTCTGTCATATTATCTTTTCAAATCTAAAATAGCATTTTTTTTTTTTTTTGGTCTTTTTTGAGACAGGGTCTCCCTGTAGCCCCAGCTGGCCTGTAACTCACTTTGCAGACCAGGCTGGTCTTGAACTCACAGAGATCTGCCTGCCTCTACCTTCCAAGTGCTGGGACTAAAGGCATATGCCACCAGGCCCAGCCTAAAATAACTTTCAAATGCTACGTAAGTTAAAGGGAATATCTTGGATCATCAGCAACGAATTTCTCACCCATTGGCTGATATTAAATATCCTCTCTTTGTTTGCTTCCTTTTCCCCCTCTATTAAATACTTAAAAGGTCAACTTACTTATGATGGTCTCCTAAACATGATTTGCCTGCTCTGTGTTTTAAAAGCCAACACACACTTTTCAAAGCCTCACAGGAACAGGAAATGTTATAGTCTGAGATCCACAAATGGCCCAAACAGATAAACAGACAGGTGAGTCTAGAGAAAGATTTATTACAGCTGGGGTACACTCTTTCCTGGAGGATCAGCGTGCAGCCCAAGCCTAAGCACTCTGGCTCTTTTATATTGCTCATGTCGCTAAGCAAGCAAGCAGAATACAGAAGCCAATCACTGAGCGTTAAGCTTGAGCAAACATTATCAAGGAAATACATAAGAAAATACAATTTTCCACCTAAATCCCCCCTCCCCCACCCGAACCATAGTACACCTCCTTGGAACTAGCTTTTTCCTCTTTCATAAACAGACATTATCAATCTTACTGTTATTCTACATTGGTCATAGTACATTGCCTTTACTGGTCACAAAGTTCCCTCTAGGGGGGTTTGGTTGTATAGCAATTGTACCCCAGGAACCTGATCTTTTAAAGTATCCCTAAGACTTTCAACCTGCTATCACGTACTTCTTGCACAAACTATGACCAGGAGTAAAAAGTTTAAGTTCCCAAGCTTACAGGTGGAGAGTCCCCTTAATAATTTCTAGTCTATTAAGCATCAATTACTATTTTGCAGAAGCAAGCCAAGCATAATCTACAAAAGCCATAAATCAGCAGTTAGCAGGAGCACTCTAGGACACTCTGACCTATTCCCAAGACAATGAGGGTCCAGCTGGCATGTGTTCCCATACCCTGGGCCAACTGCCTGATAATTTCAGAAACTAGAGTCAGCCTAAACTTTAGCATGGTGTAGCTATGGTCAAGAAGGTGCCCTATTACAGGAACATGTCCTTGTGTTTTCCCCACTGAACTGTGCTTTTCTTTAAAATATTGCTTAGAGTTCAAGGGAAAGGCATTAAACATAAAATTCTATTTATTGATTTATTTTTGGTTCGGTTTGGTTGGGGGGGGGTTGCTTGTTTGTTTTTTGACAGTATGTCCCTAGTCCCAGCCCACCTGGAAGTCACAATGTGGACAGGGTGGCCTCAATCTCACAGACATCCACCTGCCTCTGCCTTGAATTCTATTTTTATAGCACTCAGTTGCTTATGATTGCTGATAATTACAGAGTCTATTCATCAATACATGAACCCTTACTTAAAACGACTTTTTGGGCCCAATTTGAAAGAATGTAGATACTTTAAAAATAAGCCTCTTTATTCATACATTTATTGAATACTACTGTTGTAGCAGATAGGGCCTCTTGCTGTCAAGGACAGCAGAACTGAGCACAGTCATTCTCAAATGTTTGTTCTGTGGTGTAAATTATTTTTATTTTAATTTTTATTATATATTTTTAAAATTTTATGTGTATGGTGTTTTGCCTGAATGTATTCAAGAGTACCTGTGTGCAAAGCTCAGAGGCCAGAAGAGGGCGTTGGATTCCCTGGAACTGGAGTTACAGACAGTTGCTAGCCTCTATGTGGGCTGGGAACCGAACCCGAGTCTCTGCAAGGACAGCCAGTACTCTTAACCGCTGAGCCATCTCTCTAGCCCATGACATAAATTCTTTAAAAGTATAGCTGTAGCTTGATTCAGTCATTTCATGATGTATACATGTACTGAAACATCATGTAGCACACCACAAATACCTAAGTTTTATTTGTAAATTTACAAAAAAATTCAAAATTCAATACATTGACATTGTTTTGTTTTTTTTAAAAAAAAAAATGTGTACAGGTAGCCGGGAGTGGTGGCACATACCTTTAGTCCCAGCATTCGGGAGGCAGAGGCAGGCGAATCTCTGTGAGTTCAAGGCCAGCCTGGTCTACATAGTGAGTTCCAAGCCAGCTGGAGCTACAGAGAGACCCTGTCTCAAAAAGACCCCCAAAAAACCAAAACACAAGAACAACAACAACAACAACAACAAAAACCCCAAACTACAGGTGCCCACAGAGGCCATAAGATGACATCAGATCTTTTGGGGTTGGAGTTACAGGCTGCCCAACATGGATGCTGAGATCTGAACTTGGGCCTTCCAAAAGAGCAGCAAATTCTCTTAACTGTTGAACCATCTCTCCAGCCTCTGATGTGATTTTTTAACTATGGATACGTAAGATATTAGAAAGGAAGACATTTTGGAGCATGTGAGGGAAAAGTGCAGAAAAGTCCTCGGCTCCACAGGACCCTTTTACCCAGCGGTTCCCAGACCACATTTTGAGAACATCAGCTTTAGTAGGATTAGAAAAGAGGTGTATACAAATAAATTTAACACGACAAAATATTTGATATAATTCATTTAAGCTACTTTCAGATTAACACAGGCTCCGTTCCCCACTATTAAACACAGTGACAGATGCCACAGCTCTCTATACACTAGTGGGTAGGAGGTTAACCTCTAGCACTGCCACATACTTCTGCTCAAACTGTGCTAGAACTTGCTGATGCTAGTTTATGTAATTTTATTAAGTACCAGATAAACTCATTAAATTGAGAGAAGCAGGAGAGGAGGCTGTTACTGTGAAATCCAGGTAGAATGCTTTTGTTAAGACTTTTTTCTTTAGTCTTTTTGAGACAGAGTCTCCCTGTAGTCGCAGCTAGCCTGGAACTCACTATGTAGCAGACCAGGCTGGCCAGCAGGGGCAGGGACTGAGGCAGACAGATCTCCGTTGGGTTCTAGCCAGTCAGAATTGTATCATGAGGCCCCATGTCAAAAAAAGGGGGGAGGGGGAATAAAAAACAAAAATGAAAAGGTAAACTGCTTTTAAAACATACTGTCAAATTAGGTTTGAGAATAGAAGACAAACACAACTCTAGAGAGATTTGCATTTGTATTATTGCAGTGTTCTTGCTGTTTTTGAGAAACCAAAACTGAAAATCTAAATTATAGATTTAATTTCCAAAAGAAAGGAGAAGCAGATGGTCAATCAATGCCTTATACTCAAAGTATAAGCTTTATCTTATGTGTACATCAACAGT